ACAACGAGCAGGGTTAGCTCAGTCAGATGGGGCATCTCATCTACTCTAAGAAGAGGGGGTGGAAAGGAACCATACAGACACACATGCATTTGGAAATTTGGTCACAGTATGTGCAGACAGTTGCTCCCCAGCAGCTTCAAGTTTCTTTATGAAAGAGAAGGCAAGGTCATCTGATAAGACTGAAAGGCTGGCTTAACTCCGATTTCCAGCATGAAAGCCAGTGCCTTGGACACAGATATTTAATAAATATATTTAATGAATTAAATAAAAGCAAACAGCCCTGGCCAGTTTGGCTCAGTGGTTAGAGTGTCGGCCTGCGGTCCAGAGAGAGCCGGGTTCGATTCCTGCTAAGGGCACGTACCTCAGTTGCAGTTTGTCCCTGGCCCTGGTTGGGTCGTGCAGGTGGCAACCACTTGATGTGTCCCTTTCACGTCGATGTTTCTCTCTCTCTCTCTCTCCCTCCCACTCTATCTGAACAAAATATCGAAAAATGTCCTCAGGTAAGGATTAAAAATAAATAAATAAAAGCAGTTTCCTTAATTCAGTTGTCCATTAGAATCAATACTCAACTTTCTCCAAATTAGCCACTAGGGGGCATTACTGCTGCCAATCTTTCCCCCTAAATCTTTCAACACCATGAAACAGAAAATTACAGAGCAGTGTATGCCATAATGTTTTTTTAACAGTGTAAAATTTTTATATTTAGAATTAGCCAGCTAGATTCAGTTTAGATAATCCCAATTTTGTTGGCAACACCCAAATCATTATAGTCAGGAGCCAGTCAAACACAGATACGCCTTCTCTCCATCAGGCCTGATCAGGGTGTTGACTGACCTTGGCCACGTCAACGTCATAGAGCTTCTTCCGCACCTGTTTGATCTGGTGCTTGTTGGCTTAGATATCCACAATGAACACTCGGAAGTGTTGACTCGAAAGTCAGGGGGAACTTGATGATGGCAGAATGGTCAAGCTTGTTTCTCCTGGGGGTGCTCTTCCAAGGATATTCAGGCTGCCTTCAGAGCCGCAGTGCCTTTGGTGCAGAAAGGTGGGTGCCATATGGATCTTTTTTTGTATGGCTGTGGATGCTTTTCAGCACTCGCTTACTTTAATTACAAAACCTTTGCTTTGGCTTTGAGGAGCAGGGGCTTCCTTCTTTACTTTCGAAGCCATCTTTGTGAAAAGGCCATAAAATATGTATTTCCTCATGAAAATATGGTGTCAGCTTTATATACATGTATATGTGTGTGTGTGCACATGTACATGTGTGTGCGTAAGCGCACACACACACTGCAGCGGGATGGGAGCCTCCCACTGCAATCAAATCATGACACCCCAGAGCAGCCGTTCTCAACTTGTGGGTTGCTACCCCTTTGGGGGCCGAACGACCCTTTCACAGGGGTCGCCTGAGACCATCGGAAAACACATTTCCAATGGCGATTCGTAACAGTAACAAAATTACAGTTACAAAGTAGCAACAAAAATAATTTTATGGTTGGGGGTCACCACAACATGAGGAACTGTATTAAAGGGTCGCGGCATTAGGAAGGTTGAGAACCACTGCTCCAGAGGCAATACTCACCGTTTTGCAGAGGTCATTTTTTTGTAATTCCTTCAGTGCACACAGCAAATACTGAATAGACCTTTTACATTTTCTTATGACTAATAAATTACAAAAGGCAGATTAAAAAATCCCTAAAGCTAATCCTTGGTAACATTTGCCATAGCTTCTTTCAAACTATTTTCCCCCTATACCTACCATCTCTCCCAATTAAATAAGAGGTAGGTTTGTTAGCTTAATTTTAAATAGTTGTGATCTAGTTTATAAACCACTCCCTCCCATTATTTCAGATGCTTGATACATTCTTTTTTTTTAATCCTCACCCGAGGATATTTTTCCATTTTTTTGTACAGATAGAGTGGGAGGGAGAGAGAGGAAGGGAGAGAGAGAGAGAGAAACATCGACGTGAAGGGACACATCGAGTGGCTGCCACCCGCACGACCAACCAGGGCCGGGGACAAACTGCAACCGAAGTACGTGCCCTTAGCGGGAACCGAACCCGGGTCTCTCCGGACCGCAGGCCGACACTCTAACCGCTGAGCCAAACTGGCCAGGGCTTGATACATTCTTATAATGAAGATTTATCAATCTATAATACCACATGGCTATTCTATATACACCAGAATAAGCAGCTACTTTGGTGTGTGTGTTTGGCAATGGGACTGGAAAATACTTCTTTCCTAGTTTGGTTCTAATGAACTCGGGCTTCTAATGAACAGAGGGAACTGGCAGAATTCAAATTTAAAACACAGTGTAGAATTTTCAATACCCAAACAGAAAAGATGTAAAAGCAGACAGTTCTTTGAGAGTTTATGGTTACACAGATCAGCTCAGTTTCAGCTAAGGGAACTGAACTTCCAAAGCAGGGGAGACTTCCAGTCATACCAGTGGAACACATCACACCCTAGCCTAAGAAAAGCTGTCAGTTTGGTCAGATGCCTTATAGGCTGGAGCTGCTAGGAAGATAAGAAGGAGACTGAGGTCACTGTATGACTCTATGGTGTCAAGTATGTACAGGCATACCTCGGAGATAATGCAGGTTTGGTTGCAGACCACTACAATTAAAAGAGTATTGCAATAAAGTGAGTTTCACAATAAAGGGAGATATAATCTTTTTGCTAGTGGAGGATCTTGCCTTCCATTTGTAAAACAAAAAAAAAAACAAAATGCAACACCTGTGTGGCATAGAAAAGTGAAGCACAGTAAAATGAGGTATGTCTGTACTTCAAATGGGTGAAAAAGGTGCTTAAACCAAAAGCCAAAAACTTGTTTTTTTGTTTTTTTTTTAACAAACATACTCAATAAGTGGGTCATAAGGAGAGCCTGGGTGATAGAGCTGAAGTAGTCATCAGTCAAATGTAGATACAGTATCAAATTGATTGTGAACTGTTTCAAAAACAAAGTTTCAAGGTTCTTTAGGTCAGTGTTCTAATTTGACAATTAAGAGTCACATTTTTACTGGATACTCTATTCCACTAGCTGGTATGGTATTCCACTTTTATTGATAGGTATTTTTGGCGGCGGGGGAGAGGGTGGTTAGTCCTCACCCAAGGATATTTTTTTCCATTGATTTTCAGAGAGAGGGGAAGGAGGGCTGAGAGAGAGAAAGAGAAACATCGATTTGACTGGTTGCCTCCTGCACGACTGGTACCTGGATGGAATCTGCAACCCAGGAACGTGCCCTTGACCAGGAATTGAACCTGAGACCCTCCAGTGAGTGGGCGGACGCTCTAACCACTGACCCACCAGCCAGGGCTTATTGATAGCTTTCAGAGGCTCTTTGGGGCGAAAGATTTTTGTTTTTTATATTGATGAATACAATAATAGCAAATTCCTCTCCCTTCACCTATTATAAAAATTAACCTTTCCTAATGAACTGATACCACCTTGAAGGACAGGAAAGTTTCTTTCTTTGTCATTGTAATTCTTTGGCTACATGGGCATCCCTGAAAATCAGCTTTAAAACTGAGATGAACACTTTGTTACCACATCCCTACTGTATTTTAAATCTGTCTTCTTTCAAAAGTCCTTTGCTAAATCCTTAGTTTGTTCCCAGCACATGATCTAAATAAGAGCCTGATTTCATTTACATACACACACACTTGCACTCCCCAACAACAACACTTCCTTTAAAAAACAGAATGTCACTTCCTCAATCCAGAGGCCAGAAGTCCTTTGGTTCTGATCTGGGGAGCCAAGACAGGAAACTCTGGTAAGCTTCTGCCTCCCCCCACCCGGCGAGGACTGGTGCAGCTGACAGAGGGCAGGGTCTGTTCAGAGCTCCCTTGATGCACTGCAGCTGGAAGGCAACAGCTCACTTCCACGCTGCGGGAATGATCCCAGAGTCCCGCACCAGTAGTCAGTTTAACAAGGGCATTTCATAGGAAGTGACAAGGAAGGGATGAAAGACCTTGACACCTTTTAGCGACCTTACTTCTATTTCCAAACTCCTGCGAATAGCCCGGGGCTGATTTCTGCCAAATCCCAGTAATTGGCACCAGCTTGTACTTTGACCCCACCAGGCCAGGCATCTTCTAGTTTTGGGGTACGTGAGAGCCAGACCTCCTCACCACTCAAGGCCAGGCTGGACCACTTATCCCCTGATGTTGCTAGTTTCTCACCTAGAAGGGAGAGGTTGTCCCAGCAATTTCAGTAAACACTGTCGGTTAGCACCACCTGGCAACTGAGAACCTTGATCTCTCCGGATCCCAGGGCGGTACAACAGAAAACCCGGGCCAGTTATATCAAACCAAACTGCAGTGTCACCCTCGAGGGCTGGCGTGGGGGAATGTATGTGAGAGACATACAGAATAAAGGGAAAGAAGGGGGACAAACGAATGAGTCACTTAATACAAGGGCTGCACATGCCGCTGACGCTGCCCGTGATGCAGAGGCTGTGGACTGGAAGGAAACAGGCGGCCACCCGGAGGGGCGGGCAGAGAAAGGGAAGGGGGAAAGGGTGTGTGGCGCCTCGCCCTTTGTGGGGCCGCGCGGCCGGGCCCCGGAGCCCATGCCCCCCCTTTCCCGCCCACTCCCCAATCCTGCAAGCGGAAGTCGCTCGGTGTTACTATGGTCCCCCAGCCCCGGGAACCAACTCTGTAGCTCTCCAAAAACAATCAATACAAACTTCAATACTGTGTGTAGTTTACAGGGAGGCTGACTGGTGAGGCGCCGCGCCCGCCCGCCCGACCGAGAACGAACCGCAGCCTCCACCTGCCGGGCGCCCGCCCCGCCCCTCGGCGGCGCACCTGTGACAGGTGTGCAGGTGCCCCACACAGACCCGAGTCTCGGGGCGCACCAGCCGCTCCTTGTCCCCAGGAGGTCGGGGGCCCGCCCTCAAGGTCCGCGCGGTCCCTCCCGGAGCCCCCAGCCCCCCGGCAGGCCGCGGTGCGCCCCTAGCCCGTGCCCTCCGCGGCCGCGCCCGTTGACCGCCCGCACTCACATAGCGCCTCAACTTCTTCTCGGGGGGCGATTTTCTCAGCCAGCCGGTGCACACAACGTCGCCGCCGCCGCTCATGATGCCGGCCGCCTGGAGCCCGCCGCGGGGTCGGACGGACAAGGGCGCGGGCGCGAGCTGCTGGGGCAGCTGGCCGGCTGTGCGCAGCTCGCGAGGGAGGGGAGGGGCCGGAGCGGCCGGCGGCTGCGGGGCGAGGACGAGGCGGCGCGGACCCGGCTGCCGCGCGCGCGCGCGCGCCCTCCCTCCCCGCGCGCGCACTCGCAGCCCCGCCGCGGTGGGGGCGCCATAGCAGGAAGGGCGGTGCGCGCGCGCCACGCCCACAGCCCGCCGCGCCCCCCAGCCGGCCGCCTTCAAAGACGCAAACACTGTCTGGCGTTTTTGGACCGGGCAGGCCGGCGGTTCGCGAGGACGCCGAAGCCGGCCGCGCCCCCCCCCCCCCATTTGCTTTATTCCCAAGCCTCCAACAGCACGCGGGGGTGGCAGCCGCGTCCCTGGTGGGAGTGGGGGTGGGGTGAAGGGAAGGGGCTGCACGCCCTTGATCGCGAATCGATTTTACACAGAGGGTCGTCAGGAAGGGACCCGAGGGCTGCTCGAGTTTCCTATCCATTCCCAGAGTTTCAGGTTTCATGGGGTCAGGTTCTGGCTGAAATTAGTGATCCACTTCCCAGCAAGAGTTTATTTAACTCTCACACCCCCTTGGCGGGAGAAGGAAAGAAGACAAGACTAATAGGTGCTGGGCGCTCGCACATTCCTTGTTTACATGATTGTCCTGACGAGTCTACAATTGGGCGGGCAGTATTATTCCCATTTTACAAATAGTTTAAAGTCCCAAAGCCTGACCGATGCACAGCCGAGTTTCTAATTTCGGGGGTGGGGGTGGAGGTGGTCCTGCTCATCTGCTTTTTAAAGTGGGGAAGCGGTTTTAATGTGTGCAGATCAACTTGGGGGCCTCTTATTTACCAGGAAATAAAGTCCAGCTGGTTCTTTCGCTGCCTTTAGGAAACACAGTCCAGTAAAGGAAAATCCATGATTGGCGGAATCACAGAAGTAAAAATGAGTCAGTGTATTTCATAGTAAATTGGAAGGTGGGGTCAAAGTTCCCCAGCGTTCCTATCATCCACACGGATTGTGATGAGACCTTTCTGGCGTTCACGTGAAAATTCGGTATAATGGTACTTCTCACTGCATCGTGGTGAGGTTTGTCTGAGATGAAGTCTGTGGAAGCACACACTAGACAATCCCAGTTTCAGAGGAAGGGTGGAGGGGAAAAATTCTTTGGTAGGGGCTCTTTTCCACTCACAAAGTACCCTTACAAGCAATTTTAAAAGGTAGGTCCTCCCCTCAACTTTGAGAAGTGGAGAGTAACCCCCTATTTCCATAAGGAACTGTGCTGCCAGTAGCTGAGTGGGAAAAACAGCATATTGCACTCCCCATACAATTTTAGACTAAGGCTATTTTGTTCACTTCCCCATCTTTTTGCAGCAAGTTGTTCAAGCAGTTGGACATCCTGCTGGTTTTACAGATCTTGGTTGGGTTGGAAAAAGTTCACTTTCAATCCGTTTGTAAAAGCTAATCATTTACTATATATCACAGAAGCCCCTCTAAACACTCTGGGAGGTTTAGATCAGCTTCCCTGGACCCAACATTTCACTGACTTTCTTCACTATTCAGTGTGCTGCTGGACTGAATGTAAAGCTAGAACTATCAGGCTATAGCTGACACCAGAGCTCCCCTAGTCTTCCAATTTAGGGATCCTCAAGCCACATACAAGGGCCACCACCAAAATTATGGCCATTTTAACCTCTGGCTTTAAGTACCCTAAAAATCTGTGGGGCAAGTATCAAAATACTCGTCTGCCAAATCAATCTGGAGGCAGTGACTCTCCACCAAGATACAGCAACTTCTGACTTCATTCACATCTGCCTCATGTTGTCAGGTCCCAGGGATTGCAGACTCCGAGAGATCAGCATGGTTTGTTTGCAGCTACCCTAACTTTCTTATGACTAGGCTGCCAGCACCCAGCTCAGGCTGCACATGGGAAGCAGGGCTGCTGCTGAAGTCCCTGGCTGCACCCTGGTGTGGCTCCAGTCTTTTGAGCCTGAGGTCCTTGCCAAGCCTGGAAACAGGCCTCGGACAGAACGTTCCTGTCTTCCTGTCTGGGCCTTTACTAAGTCTAAGTCCTCTCCACTCCCTGCTGGAGGATGGGGTGGGGGTGGGGGGGAGTGAGTGAGGGAGTGTGTGTGTGTGTGTGTGTGTGTGTGTGTGTGTGTGTATGTTTCAATGCTCCCTGCTTTGACTGGGGAGAAATGGAAAACAAATTGAGTGATTTATTTACATGAAACTAAGCGCCATCTATCGGAATCAGTTGGGATAACGCCCCCACCCCCAACCTGCGAGGACATGCACCACTAGTCCATAATTTAGGCAATTTTGATTAAAGACCACGGGCATTTCCTGGAGGAATTAATGGCCGGCTGCAAGGAGGACTTTGGGTCATTAATTCTATACTCATTAAATTCTCAGGAAATGACCATCTCATGGGGGAGGGTTTCTCTGGAGGGAGCATTGCCGAGATTAGAGAAATGAACACCTGGGAGGGAAGCATGGGCACCACGTTTTGCTCCCCCACTCCCAAAGCCTGGGTTCTAAAGGGTGCACTGTGGCTTCGAGTTTCGTCAGCGACAGCCTGCATCCGTGCCTGTCTGGGAGTTGAGAGTTTGTGGCCAGCAGCAGGTGCATGGCTGGTGGAACACTCCCAGGAACCGGTTGGAAGGGCTGGAAGGAGAGCTGTCCTCAACTGCACACCAGGCTGGTGTGATTAATACCACCCACGCCAGGCTTGACGTCAGTGATTGGACTGGGGGTGGGGATGGATGTTTGTGTCCTAGTCCTTCTGCCTTTTCTCCCCTTCAGTCTAATTGACAGGTTAATTTCAGAGCTGAGTGCTGCTTGCCAAGGTCAGTGTGGCCAGCTGAGCCACCTCGGCTTGGTGGCTTTCATGACACGTGTCTCTCAGGCATATTGAGGTTTGCACTTCTTTAACCCCTTTCTGCTTTGAGACCATTTGGTTCCCTCCCCCAAATTACTGCGACCTACTCAAATCAACTCTTGGCATCCGATTGGGATGGAGATCTGGAAGAGGGTTTGGGGTGCGGTTGAAGATCAAATTGGGTTCCCTCCCTGTCTGTGGCTGCTAACACTTACTGACATTACTCCCAGTGGGAGACACTTTGGAAATAAACTTTCTTAAAGAGAAAAGGTTGAGCAAGTCCAGCTTCCAAATATTCCTTTGTGAAGAACCAGAGCCTGTACTAACTGCTTTGGGGCAGTTATACTCCGGGGACATTTCTACAGACACCAGTGGGGGTGGTGACATCAATGTTCACAGATCATGCCACAAAACTGGTTTTCATATTCTCCTAAGAACAGACTGTCAAGGTCCCTGGGAAAGTGCCTTACGTGCTCCAAACCGTACTTTGCATGCTGGCCACTTCCTTCACAGGGAGAAGTCCTGCCTTGACTTAGATCTTGAAAATCCATCAAGACCCAGTTCCCTAAAACTCACCATCCCCACTCCTCAGCAGAGTTGTTCATTCTTAGGTTCACACTGCACCCTTCTAAATTGGGTTTTCACACTATAATGTAGATATTTGTTTCCCTAGAGCCTCCTAGCATGGTGCCAGGCACACAGATGCTGATCAAATGTCTATTGGAAGAGGAACCAATACTTAAAGGATAACGAGAGCTATGGACTCCTGGAGCATCCAGAACTCTCTGATCCAACCATCCCCCAAGAATAGTATCCTTATAAGCAGCTGGAGTGTTTAGACCCACAGGGACTGGCCTGGTGGGATGGGCAGAGCAGGTGGAGGTAATCCTAGGCAGTTTCACTTTAAATACTGGTTGAAACCCTTGGATAGTTTAAAAAACAATGGCTCCTTAGCCCTTTGACTTCTACCCCCAGGATCTACAGAGCTAACTGTTAACCCTTGGTCTCCAAACCCTGACACTTGTATGGACTCGTATACCCTCTTCTCTGGGACTAAGATTGAAACCATTTATAGTTTATCTGATAGCTGGTTTCACTGTGGCAGTCCTAGAGGAGCTCTAGCACTGAACCCCTTGTACCCACATACAATACTAGCAAAGCTGGAGAAATCAAGTCCCCTGACTCAAAGTGGGTTTCATCCAACAGCTGGCCAGAAGTAGCATTTTCTTCTGCACTGAATGAATGCTCAGCGGCTCTGCACATTCACTAGTCTTTGTTTTGCTGGGGATCCTAGGACCACAGGAGGCCATCTCATTTAACTCTCTAATTCTACCATAATTGTACAAATGCTTGTCTGACTCATACAGCCAGTGACGTGCTTGTAAATGTTTAAAAACTGGCTGGCTGGTGGTGGTAGCCTTGATTTGTAGTATGTGACAAATTTTGTGGTAGAAGTATTACTCTCTCTCTACCCCTCCCTTGAGCAATTTCAGGCTATCAACTTCATGTGTTTGAATACACAGCCAAGAGATACACAGTTATTTAGTATTTCCATTATAAAGATGAAATAGACATAAATAACACCAAGAGCAGAGATAATAGCAAAATGTACTAAAATGATTAGTAACTGATGAATTTTGATTTATCCCCTTTGTTTTCAATATAACTTAAAGTCAGTGTTTTTAAAGTGTACAATTCAGTGGTTTTTAGTATATTCACCAAATTGCGCAGCTATCATTGCTATGGACTTTTAGAACATTTTCATTACCTCAAAAAGAAACTCCATATCTATTAGCAGTGACCCCTCATTCCTCCAACCCTAACCCCTGGCAACTACTAATTTTTCTGTCTCTATGGATTTGCCAATTCTGGATAGTTCATATAATCATACACTATGTGATTTCTTGTGTTTGCCTGCTTTCACTGTGTATAATGTTTTCAAGGTTCGTCCATTTGACATGTCAGTGTTTCATTCTTCTCTATGGCTGAGTAATTTCATTGTGTGGATAAAATGATCAGTTGATGGGCATTTCAGTTGTTT